GGTAATAGCAGATTGGGGGGAGACTTTTTACAGCAGACTGTAGAGAGAGACTTTTCCTCTGCTGCTGCTACTCGCCCCTCTTAAAAAAAAAAAAAAAAAAAAAAAAAAAAAAATGAGCCTGTTGATGTTTTAACTTAATAATTATCCATGGTATATTCCAGTCTTACAAACTTTGTAATAAAGGTCATCCAGGTAATGTTAATGTGAACAGCTGCCTACCTTGTTAGACAGTGCTCTTGCCTCACACAGTGTGTCCAGGGTTCAATCCCCAGCCGGGTAGAAGCATTGGGCATGTTTCCTTACACCTGCTGTCCCTGTTCACCCAGCAGTAGGTAGGTGTTAGTTGACTAGTGAGTCGCATCCTGGGGGACAAGATTGAAGGACCTCACTGGCAATAAGTCCTTTATGAAGCACTGACTTTCTTGGGTTATCATGGGGTGGATAACCCTAGAGGCTAAAAATCCAAACAAATCTTAATCTTGAGATGAGTGGTGCTGTGAAACAGATGCACATGGTTGAAGAAGATGAATACAGTAATCCTGTGCAACAGATTCTTTGAGCTGAGTAGTGAAGATGAATTATGCTGTGAAGTAAACATGAATGATTCTTTGAAATAGATATGCATAAGGTTTGGTTTCAGTACCTAATCTATGGTACCCTGACAATGATGAGTCCTAACACTAGCAGGCAAAAATTCAGTTTGTATTACTGTACTTAATCTACAAGTGAAACAATATTAATTCATTTTTACTACAGTAGATTAGCCAGTTGTTGGTTGTAGCGAATGTGTTGACTGTAGCAGCCAAACAAACCAGCAACACCTTCCAGGAAAATGACATAGATATACTGCAACTTGTATTAAGTGTTTTGATAGCTACTTTTCTTATTTTCCTCAAGTTGTAGTAGGTATAATATCTGGCATCTTTTATGATGGATAGCTCCTACTTTTTATGAAATACCGTATTATATTTTAGCACAAGGTAGTAGTAGTAGTGGTAGTTAGGTGATTGTGTTCCTCATGCTGATCAGGAGGGCGTGTTGGGCATCATGGGCATGGGAATGGGACGGGATTCAGATACAGGCTGGGATACTTCGTTTGCCTCGGCCCGCAGCCGCAATGCCTCAGTTCGTGACTCTGCCCGAAGCAACACCTCCATGATGAGTAACAACACCTCGGCTCGCAGCATCAGGTCATCTGGTGTTAACGGTTCCCTGCCTTCCAAACTAAGTCCCCGTCCCTTCCAGGTACTGTGTATAGTAACCTAAAGCAAGTCCCCACCCTTTCCAGGTGCAGTATTTGAGACCTCCAAACTGTCCCTGTCCCTTCCAGGTACTGTACATGAGAACATTAGAACCTTAATTTATCACTGGTACTTAGTGTGCATAAAGGTTAACATACACATTCCAAACTAATGTACAATAGTTCAGTCAGACGACTCAAAATTTGCTCGCCCAAAAATCCCTGTACCCTTGTCACTCAATTCTATGTAGAACCTCCATGAAATCATTCGGTAGAAATGAACTACTATAATGCTGTAACTGATTATAGTTTTGCTTCAGGAAATAGGTACTGAACATAAGTTTCCTTAAGTATTACTTACGTGCCCTCAAGGTATGTAGACAACTTCAGTTCTAGCTTCCACCTTTCCAGGTGCTGCATGTGGCTTTCCTGCATAAATTTTGACATTACAAATACTGTAGTGTATTTCTTTAGGTGTATGAAGTTCAGCATTTGCAGCCGTGAATCTTCCAGGTATTGTAAGTATGAAGTTTCCTCAGCAAAACTTGACATCCATCATGTAATTATGAGGTTCCTTTGTAAATTTGGTGTCATTCTCTGTAACATTATGGGGTTACTTGTTTAAATGTTTATTTTAGCCCAGATCTTGTACACTTCCACATTTTAGCTGTATGACCCATATGGGTTTAGTGCTTTTATAATATAATTTGTTAATAATGTATTAATAGTAATATAATCATTTTTATAAGCTTCCATAACTAATATCTACATTTGCATAAGTACAATATTCTTGGTCTTTGAGTATTGACATTTTGTCCTTGTGTCTGGCTTCATGCGAGTCATGTCTGTGAGGTGAGCTGAGCTGTGTACTGGTCACTGTTTTACATTATTAAGTTGCACTTTGTCTTGTCTGAAAGGCCCAAGCATAATCAGGAATTGATACTCTAAAGAGGTTTTTTTTGTGCTGAAATGCATTTGTAACGTTGGATGTTTGATTTGTTTTATGTATAAAGGAGGGGTGTTAATGTTGCAGTTTAAAAACTGTAGTGTAAAGCACCCTTCTGGCAAGACAGTGATGGAGTGAATGATGGTGAAAGTTTTTCTTTTTCGGGCCACCCTGCCTTGGTGGGAATCGGCCGGTGTGATAATAAAAAAATAATAAAAAAATAAAGCTTTGTGGGTGTTATGCTCAGTCTAATTTTTCCTGGAGGTTATTGTGCAAGTTTCAGAGCTATGTACAGTGTCTAATTTATGTAAAGGATGTACTGAACTGAATTAAAACTGAAAATGTGTGCAAAACAAATGTTCTGTCTTTGCAATAATGTTTTAGATTAGTGAATTAATTTGCCATTTTGTGAAGTCCAGAAAACTCTCATAGATAGACGATAATAGGTAAAAATAAGGTTATATATAGTATTTATATTCTTTGGTTTCTATTTCAGGATTTTCCATGTTTTTATACTTAATTTCTGTCTGCTTTTCTTGCAAGAACATGAACCAACATGCTTATCTGCTAACACAGTCTGCACTCTGTGTCCTGTGGGACTCCTCCTTGTATATTTTATAAATACAGTGATTTAAATAATTTGTCTCATAATATAAAAGACATTGCATGTACCAGGCAAACTCAGCATCTTAAATGTGATATAAAACACCTTTAAAAATCCATTTATATGTATAAATAATAAAAATTTGAAAAGCATTGAAACAAAAATACATGCATTTTTTTTTTATTTCATGTGCATAATGGATGTTTTTGAGGAATTGTTTACCTGAGCTTGGATGTTCAGTCCCTTAAGAAGGGAAGGGCTGCTTTGATGCTGATGGTCTCTCCAGCCAAGGGACTGAAGTTATCATCTCCTTCCTTGGATTACTCGCTGATTACATGGGTGCTGTATGGCCCCTCATATGGATTTAGCCCCTTCACCTGAATTTATTAATCAGATGTTAAGTTTGCCCTAACTGGCCTCTAGCCCTTGTATATTCTCCATCCATCAGTTTGCAGGCATACATATATACAGTATCCCTGTTATTCATAATGGCAAAACATATCTTGACTACATTCTCCTCTCTTTCTCTCTTTCTCTCTCTCTCTTTCTCTCTCTCTTTCTCTTTCTTTCTCTTTCCTCTTTCTCTTCTCTTCTCTCTCTCTTTCTCTTTCTCTTCTCTCTCTTCTCTTTCTCTCTCTTTCTCTCTCTCTCTCTTCTCTTCTCTCTTTCTCTCTCTTTCTCTTCTCTCTCTTTCTCTCTCTCTCTCTTCTCTCTCTCTCTCTCTCTCTCTCTCTCTCTCTCTCTCTCTCTCTCTCTCTCTCTCTCTCTTTCTCTCTCTCTTTTTCTCTTTCTCTCTCTTTTCTCTTTTCTCTTTCTCTTTCTCTCTCTCTTTTCTCTTTCTCTCTCTTCTCTTCTCTCTCTTCTCTTTCTCTTTCTCTTTTCTCTCTCTCTCTTTCTCTTTCTCTCTTTCTTTCTCTCTTTCTCTTTCCTTTTCTTCTCTCTTCTTTCTCTTTCTTTCTCTTTCTCTTTCTCTCTTTTTCTCTCTTTTTCTCTCTTTTCTTTTCTCTTTTTTCTCTTTTCTCTTTCTTTTTTCTCTCTTTTTTCTCTTCTTTCTCTCTTTTTTTCTTTTTTTCTCTTTTTTCTTTCTTTTTCTTCTTTCTTTCTTTTTTCTCTTTTTTTCTCTTTTCTCTTTTTTCTCTTTTTCTCTTTTTTTCTCTTTTTTTCTCTTTTTTTTTTTCTCTTTTTCTCTTTTTTTCTCTTTTTTCTCTTTTTTTTCTTTTCTTCTTTTTCTCTTTTTTTCTCTTTCTTTTTTCTCTTTTTTTCTTTTTTTTCTCTTTTTCTTTTTTCTCTTTTTTTCTTTTTTTTTCTCTTTTTTTCTCTTTTTTTTCTTTTTTTTTTTTTCTCTTTTTTTCTTTTTTCTCTTTTTTTCTCTTTTTTTCTTTTTTTTTTTTCTTTTTTTTTTCTCTTTTTTTTTTTTTTCTTTTTTTTTCTTTTTTCTTCTTTTTCTTTTTTTTTTTTCTCTCTTTTTTCTTTTTCTTTTTTTCTCTTTTTTTCTCTTTTTTCTTTTTTTCTCTTTTTTCTCTTTTTTCTCTTTTTTTCTCTTTTTTTTCTCTTTTTTTCTCTTTTTTTCTCTTTTTTCCTCTTTTTTCTCTCTTTTTCTCTTTTTCTTCTTTTTTTCTTTTTTTCTCTTTTTTCTTTCTCTTTTTTCTCTTTTTTTCTCTTTTTTCTCTTTTTTTCCTTTTTCTCCCTTTTTTCTCTTTTTCTCTTTTTCCTTTCTCTTTTTCTCTTTTTTTCTCTTTTTTTCTCTTTTTTCTCTTCTTTCTCTTTTTTTTCTCTTTTTTTTTCTCTTTTTTCTCTTTTTTCTCTTTTTTCTCTTTTTTTTCTTTTTTTCCTCTTTTTTCTCTTTTTTTCTCTTTTTTTTTTCTCTTTTTTTCTCTTTTTCTTTTTTTCCTCTCTCCTTTTTTCTTTTCTTTCTCTTTTTTCTCTTTCCTTCTTTTTCTCTCTTTTCTCTTTCTTTTTCTCTTTTTTTTCTCTTTTTTTCTCTTTTTTCTTTTTTCTTTCTCTTTCTTTCTCTTTTTTTTCTCTTTTTTCTCTTTCTCTTTCTTTTTTTTTTCTCTCTTTTTCTCTTTCTCTTTTTCTTTCTCTCTCTCACACTCCAAATAATAATTCTTCCTTTGCATCTGTCACAATTTGAGGTGCTGTACAACTCCTACAGGTATATTTCCTCCTCGTGAATATGCATACAGTATATCACACTTCAAAACTTGCAGGTTGTGGAAAAGACTGAGAAAACTGAGAAGCTCCTCCCCAGTTCACCAGCAACACAACTGGAGAGTGCAGATGGAAGTGGAGAAGTTGTTGGAGATAATGGTGGAGGTGTTGGTGTTAGGGAGGAGGAAGGAAGCGAGGACGACAACCCGCTGCAGCGACTTATAGCGCCACTTATCAGTGTGTTTCAGCTAGTCATTCGGTCTTCATATATAGCCACCAACATTGTTATGATGGTCAGTTGTACTTTGTATAACCCTCTGGTAGAAAATGTCTAACAAATAAATTTGAATCTCGTGTTGTAATTTTTTTTTAACACATTGGAAGTTTCCCACTGAGTCAGGGTGACCCAAAAAGGAAAGAAAAAATCATCACTCTCGACATCACTACGTGATAGGATGACCCAAAAAATTAAACATATTTTCCATTTCATGTTTCTGTAAAGATACGTTTGTAATACTCATTTCGCTGAGAAAAATCATTACTTTTTTTCCTGATATTAATTATACTCATTCCTGTTCTTTTGTATGGAAGTGTTCAGCTCATACAGCTCAATCTTGTACCCCCAGCTTAAGTTTCTCATACCTCCAGGGGGTACACGTATCCATGGTTAAAAACCTATACCTTGCTAGAAGGTGAAGGTCTGTATTTCATTATTTTCAAACCATCTACTCTTCAGTCTTATATAGGCTTCTGTGCTACCCATTCAGATATTATATCTGATTTTTTTTTATTAATTTAATGACTAGTTGCCACTAAGAACTTCGTTTAGATAAAATCACGTAGGATCTTTGTGAGCTTTGAAAGCAGTGTTTTAAAGCTGTATAAGGTAATTGTGTATAGTGCTTTGGTTATCATATGCAATGTGTAAAGCAGTCCTTTGGTTATCATATGCAATGTGTAAAGCAGTCCTTTGGTTATCATATGCAATGTGTAAAGCAGTCCTTTGGTTATCATATGCAATGTGTAAAGCAGTCCTTTTGTACTTTCACTGGGTAGAAAAAGTTTTAAAAAAGGCATGCACTTCAAGCACATAAATAACAAATACTTATGGTATACTGTCTAAAAGGAAAGTGGCTTTTGTATACATGGATGAGGAGATGATGAGAAGCTATTGATATATATATTAGGCCAAAATTAATAAAATAATAGTTTCTACTTGGTATCCTCTCCTGAAATGTGTGGATCAGATAGAAAAGGTACAGAAAGCTATGAGATGAAAGATGTAAAAAAAAAAAGTGAGTTAAGGAGGAACAAGAGGTAAGACAGCAACATGTACGTACAGTTATAAAAGGAGTGAAGGAGTATTTTAGTATATTTAACAGGGATAACAAGAGGCCACAAATATAAATTAAAAAAAACTGGAGTTGGCAGGATTCTGGGAAATTTTAACTTTCATGTAGACTGATGGAACAATGGAAGACACTGAAATATGAGCTAGTAAATTCTATTACCATTGGAACATTAATATGTTCATTATACAAGAATCTTCACCTGTAGCTACATACAGGTGATTACAGTAATTGTAGTCATATAAAACATGAATGGAGGAAGGATTGATTAATTTCCATCTAGTCTAGTATATGGTGATGGCTTCAGTTTATTAACCTTGAAGTAATAACCCAAGATAATTTGCTAAAACCCTGAACAATAATATGAACTTTATTTTTGAATAGGCATGGAGTATAACGTACCACAGCTGGCTGACATTTGTGCTGCTTTTGTGGGCATGTGTACTGTGGATGATTCCCAACCAGCGTGCTGCTATGCTGCGATGTTCCCCATTTCTAGTTGTCTATGCTGAGGTAAGTAACCCATTGTACATGAATGGTATAAAATACTGACAAGATGAATTAAGATGCATGGCAACATCTGTGTATCACAGATGTTGCATGTCTTAATTCTTCAAGTAACCCATTTCACTTTATCAGTAAAGTAGAATATTGCTATTTTTTGAAATACAATATGCATGGTATATTTGGTATATACTGTTTTTTTTTTTTATCTAAAGTAGGTTTACCTTTGTGGATTACTTATTATTGTATATGTGGAAACACTAAACCTACAAGGATCATTCAACATTGGGACATAGGAGATAATCTGGTTAAATTTCATGAAAGGAAGGGTAGCTCTAGTTCCTATGATCAAGAGCCCTTTATTGATGTATGAAGATGTTTTAATAGGGTACTCTGAGCACACTATGGTATTTAGTGTATGGAATGTATGTTTTCACTCTGGTTAAGTTGGAATGAAATGAAACATGAAGATAATACTGTGCTCAGAAATAAGAGGCAAGGATTTTTTTTTTTTAACACTGACTCGACCAATTCCAACAAAGGGTGGGTGACCATAAAAGCTGAAACACATTCATCATTCATTCAGCAATAGTCATGCCAGAAGTGCAATATTATGATGATTCAAATTGCCCTCTAAATTGCAACATTCCTCGAGAGTACAGCCATTGTATTGTGCTTCTCACCTCAGACTTGAATCCACCTAACTTGTTTCCCTGAATCATTTAATGAATATTTTTTGTCACACTAGCTGTCTCCCACTGAGGTAGGGTGACCCAAAAAAGAAATGCTTTCTCCACCATTGACTCTTACCACTGTCTTGCCAGAGGTGTGTAGATACTATGGTTCAGATGCCCCTCTAAACTGCAGATATCCCCACCCCTCCTTTAGAGTGCAGGTACTGTACCTCCCACCTCCAGGACTCAAGTCCTGGAGGTGGGAGGTTTCTCTAAATCCCATACATATATAATGAAAATATAACAAAGTACATTATCTTCATTGTTCAGTATCTACTGGTATGTCTAATTATTTTTATAAATATTTTGATTGTTATTGTTACAGTTGCTGCTGGTTCTTCAGTATATATATTGCATGGACCTGACAGATGATGAGCTACCTAGTCAGGTGGAAGCTGTTAATCTAGGTCAGATTGGTCTGGTCAAGTATCCTTACTTACCCTGCAAGCCTCTGCTTGTCAAGGTCAGTATATTGCATGTTCCTGTATTAATTCTTTAGAATCTTAATCGAATGACTTCTTTAGTATTAACTAGAGAAGTCATTCGATTAAGATTCTAAAGAATTTTAATTTGTTTATTTTAACTTGGCATAATTTTTTTTGTGTTAGTGTGATTGGTTTTTATTTTTTCCTTATTCTTATTACCTCCTCTTCCTGCCTATATATACCCGTCCTGCTCCAATTCTGGTTAGTGTGACTTTGTAAATGGTCCAAGTCGGACCGAAACGTCGTTGTAAGCTCCTCTCTTCTATGTGCGGGTTATTTGTGTATACTCCTCCAAATAATTGTAGAATTTCTGCCAAACTTAAATTTTCTTTGTTACTGGTATGTATGTATTTGGAAATATGTTCAATATCATTCCTGATTAACCTCTTGTTTCCAGTATATTATGGGAGTTATAAAAAATGAACTCTACAGGAGGGCTCGCTTTATGGCAGTTCTCTAATACAGACATTTCAAATTCTTCTTTTATCTTTCAACAAACTGGCTGTATCCCACTGAAGCAGGGTGGCCCAAAAAGAAAAACAAAAATACATTTCAAATTATGACCAAAAATTCATATGGCTCCCTGTGTCACACTGTTTGTCCTCCATAAGCTCTGTATCTGTTGTCTGGAAACTCCAAAATTTCAAGGGTTTTAAAATTATTTCGTATTATATATATACTCTGTACTTGTGTACCTGCACCTAAATAAACTTACTGTGCTGGCTTGCAGGTACACATTAAAATCACTAAGAGTGTCTCACTAGTGCTGAAGGCACAATAAGCTAATAACAATAATCAGTCAGGGGCACTTTAAATGTCGTATATTACGTTAATATAGACTTTCATTAATCCATCTGATTTTTTTTTCAAAATTATTTAAGAAACGCGCTTCATATCATATAAACATAATACGTGTACATTCAACCATAGTAGAACAAATTGACATAAATATGACCTGTGGTTGCCAGGCAGCTTGTAGTGGTAGTAGTAGTGATGGCAAGAATTTGTTTTCTCTAGTTCAACACCAGAGAAGATATGTACACTAGAGTATTAGTGGGGGGGGGGAGGGCTGTAGAAAAATATTCCTTTCATATGCCTTCACTTGTAACTTCACTTGCTCTTAAAATGGTATTGCACGAGAATGGAAGTGTTGCTGTTATTTATTCTACTGCACCAATGTGAAGACAACTTGTACACAGTGTAAGATGTTTGTATTGTAGGGGAAAAAAGGTAAAAAAAAACGTGTATAATGTGAAATGAACGTGTATGAACACAGTGAACAAATCTTTAATACTCATTCATCTGATTGCTCTGTTTGTTCACATTCTGTTTACATTCTCCATGTCTTTTCATTCCACAACTGAAGACTCTCTTCTGATATTTATCAGTATGGAAATAATGTGTAGACACAGTTACTGGGTAAATGTACAAATGCATGTTGCTGTTAAGAGTTTTGGTTAGCAACAAGTAGTGCAAACTTCATTACAATTCATTATTCTTTGGCAAGAATAGTAGTAGTAGTAATGTAGCAGTTGTATTCAATAAGGAATATGTAAAAAACTTGGAAATATGGGTGAGGAAGCTCATATAATGTTGTGTATCCTAGAAAACTTGTCAAGGATTGTCCTTGAGAAACATGAACTACAGTATGTACTTCACAGATTTACAAATGATTCATTACTAGGTGCTGTATACAACCATGTTCTGGATTACATTACGTCAGTATGTGCAAGAGGTGATTGAAGTCACCAAGCGTGAGATGTCCACTGCCGCAGCTTTGCAACCATTCACTGTTGCAGTCAGCACCACCACCACTGGCCAGCCTGTCACTACACTAGTCTCTTCTGCACATGGTGAGGATAAACTATTAATGGTTCTGGGGTTAATTGTCCTCATTTGGTCTTACACCAGGCCTCCTAATTTGAAAGTAAAGATTTGAGTAATAAGAGCTAGTAAAAACAGGAAAGTTGAGTGTATATATACTGAATGTAACTAGAAGCTTGTATGATAGCTCTCAACTTACATGTTCAGGATTTTCACAAACTGACACACAGTTGTTCTTATGACCACCATTTCCATACCTTAGCAGTCTTTCAGATGCATCCTACTTAATATCTTTAACTCCTTCCCAATAAAGTCTAATAAATTCAGCTTCACTCATTGCTAGAACATCCAGCAGTCTCTAGTGACAAATCACCAAATTGAATAATATAAAGTTTAACTTCATATAAGCACTTTTGTATTTCTCCAGCTGCTGCTCATCTTTTTATAATTGCCTTGAGTATTTATAGTATTAATGATTATTCACTGTTACATAAATTTTTCCAAACAGATGACTCGAATGCATCACCATTAATGCAGCGATTAGGGCAGTGGGTACGAAGTCTCTTGGTGAAATTTTGGATTTGGGTTGTTGCTATTATGCTTTTTGTCTTTGGTATCCAAGGCTCTGAGGTTGTGATTTTCAGGATCATGTATATGGTCCTGTTCCTTATTTTCACCATCACCTTTCAAGTAAGTATAGAAGCATTTAATATAGTTGCATGCAAAATAAATGTTAATGCAATAATTACACAAATGCATATGGCACATTCATGGTGTATTCATTGGATGCATCTCTACAGCTGTCGTATTCTGCCTGGCGGAACTTCCTATATGGGTTCTGGCTGACGGTCATCATTTACCAGATGTTCGTGTTGGTACTCACCTACACATACCAGTTTGACAACTTCCCTGAGTATTGGCAGAACTATACTGGCATCCCTATCCAACTGCAGAATGACATGGGTCTTGAGGTATGATGGGATACAACAAAACTATAAATTATAATTGTGTATTTCTGAGAAAACTGATAATATTCATTTGTTTTGTGATTACCTATTTATAGATGTTCCAGCATCAGTATTTAATCTATAGTGTATATTTTTTATAATTGTGAAACAAGCCACAGAACGAGTGGGGTTTGAATCCATGGTGAGAGAGCCGTAAAACTCCAGGCTAGTGTGTAAGCCACTGACCTGGAGTTTTAGGGCTACTCACCACAAGTTCAACCCTTACCCCCCCCCCTCCTTCCATGGTTTGTTTGCAATGGTGTCATTACAGTTTTGCGAGTCATAATGTCTTGTGGTTGTAGCATTACCTATTGTATCCCATTCCATTGTTCTAGTTTTGCTTGTTAACAGAAAACAAAATATTGTCATTTTAGTACTGCTTTTTTTCTGTGGGTTCTTGTTCTGTTAAGAAATCTTCATTTTTTTATTTATCTTGTATGTGGTTCTAAGTCTCTTCTTTTTCTGTTGACCATTTTCATCTATTTATTGTTCTAACCTGTATATTTTAGCTGTGAATCATTCTCGCTGAGGTAGGGTGACTTGAAAAATAAGAAACACTTTCATCATCATCACTCCATCACTGGATTCATGTAAATATTGGCATGTGCAGGTGTCCTCTGATCACACCATGAACCATAATGCATCTAGTTTGTCTTAACTTGGTAAATCATTTGTATTAGCAGTGAATTGAGGAAATCTGCATGGAGCCAGAAACTGTTAAAAAAAAAGTGGGTGAATCTAGGCGTCTTTATTTTTTTGTCCGTAGGTTTACGACACTGGCCGGCTCTTCATCAAGCTGATGACTCCTACCTTCTTTGTGATCGTCACCATCATCCAGGTTCACTATTTCCACAAGGACTTCCTTGAGCTCTCTGATATTGAGAAAATGCAAGTCATATTCATTTTGCTCACTATACCATAGTAGATAATGACATGTTTAGATATTTTGTAACTATTTCATATTAGCTTATTAGATGTATCATGTAAAATGTTACTTATTGTATATTAGAATTTTAAGTTTTATTTTTGAACACCAGCCATCTCCCACAGAGGCAGTGTGACATGAAAAAGAAGAAACAAAAGTTTTCTCCACTTCCCCATAGAGTTTGACTTTACATGTATATAAATTACTATCCTATATTATTTTGCTAAGAAATAGCCAAAATAGTTTATGAAATATATACTTTATTGTATTCAAAGAAGTTGTATATTTTACATTTGGACTGATTCACTATGGACCCCCAATGGAAATAAGTCACTTTTTTTTTTTTTTGGGGGGGGGGGGGGGGGGGTGTTCTACCTATATTTTTTCCCCCCAACAAGTTGGCCATCTCCCACCGAGGCAGGGTGACCAAAAAAGAAAGAAAATCCCCAAAAAGAAAATACTTTCATCATTCAACACTTTCACCTCACTCACAAAATCACTGTCTTTGCAGAGGTACCCAGATACAACAGTTTAGAAGCATATAAAACATACCCCTCCAAACTATATTGCAAACCCCTCCTTTAAAGTGCAGGCATTGTACATCCTATTTCCAGTACTCAAGTCCGGCTATATAAAAAAAAAAGGTTTCCCTGAATTCCTTAACTAAATATTTCCCTGCTCACACTTCAACAGCTCGTCAGGTCCTAAAAACCATTCGTCTCCATTCACTCCTATCTAACATGCTCACACACGCTTGCTGGAAGTCCAAGCCCCTCGCTCATGAAACCTCCTTACCCCCTCCCTCCAACTTTTTTGAGGACGACCCTTCCCCTACAGATTTATACGCTTTCCAAGTTATACTACTTTGATCCATTCTCTCAAAATGACCAAACCACCTCAACAACCCCTCTTCAACCCTCTGACTAATACTTTTAGTAACTTCACACCTCCTAATTTCCACACTCCAAATTCTCTGCATAATATTTACACCACACATTGCCCTTAGACAGGACATCTTCACTGCCTCCAGCCGCCTCCTCGCTGCAGCATTTGCAACCCAAACGTCACACCCCCATAAGAGTGTTGGTACCACTATACTTTCGTACATTCCCTTCTTTGCCTCCATGGATAACTTTTTTTTTTTTGTCTCCACATATACCTCAACACGCCACTCGCCTTTTTTTTCATCAGTTCTATGGTTAACCTCATCCTTCATAAACCCATCCGCTGACTAGCCAGCTCCCAAATATCTAAATACATTCACTTCTTCCATACTCTCTCTCTCCAATGTGATATCCAATTTTTCTTCATCTAAATCATTTGATACCCTCATCACCTTACTCTATGTTCACTTTCAACTTTCTACCTTTACACACCCTCCCAAAGTCGTCCACTAGCCTTTGCAACTTTTCTTTAGAATCTCCCATGAAGACAGTATCATCAGCAAAAAGTAACTGTGTCAACTCCTATTTTGTATTTGATTCCCCATAATTTAATCCCACCCCTCTCCCCAACACCCTAGTATTTACTTCTTTTACAACCCCCATCTATAAATATATTGAACAACCATGGTGACATAACACATCCCTATCTAAGACCTACTTTTACCGGGAAGTAATCTCCCTCTCTTCTACACACCCTAACCTGAGCCTCGCTATTCTCATAAAAACTCTTTACAGCATTTAGTAACATATTACCTATTCCATATACTTGCAACATCTGCCACATTGCTCCCCTATCCACTCTAAATCCATAAATGCAATAAAAACTTCCCTACCTTTATCTAAATACTGTTCACATATATGCTTCAGTGTAAACACTTGATCTACACATCCCCTACCCACTCTAAAACCTCCTTGCTCATCTGCAATCCTACTCTCTCTTACCTCTAATTCTTTCAATAGTAACCCTACCATACACTTTTTCTGGTATACTCAGTAAACTTCTTTCAACGTACCAGCTGTATTCCACTGAGATGGGGTGGCCCAAAAGAAAAAACTAAAGTTTCTCCTTTTTAAATTTAGTAATATATACAGGAGAAGGGGTTGCTAGCCCCTTGCTCCCGGCGTTTTAGTCGCCTCTTACAACATGCATGGCTTACGGAGGAAGAATTCTGTTCCACTTCCCCATGGAGATAAGAGGAAATAAACAAGAACAAGAATTAGAAAGAAAATAGAAGAAAACCCAGAGGGGTGTGTATATATATGCTTGTACACGTATGAGTAGTGTGACCTAAGTGTAAGTAGAAGTAGCAAGACGTACCTGTAATCTTGCATATTTATGAGACAGACGAAAGACACCAGCAATCCTACCATCATGTAAAACAATTACAGGCTTTCGTTTTACACTCACTTGGCAGGATGGTAGTACCTCCCTGGGTGGTTGCTGTCTACCAACCTACTACCTATACTTAGTAAACTTATTCCTCTATAATTTTTACAATCTCTTTTGTCCCCCTTCCCTTTATATAAAGGAACTATACATGCTCTCTGACAATCCCTAGGTACCTTCCCCTCTTTCATACATTTATTAAACAAAAATACCAACCACTCCAACACTGTATCCTCCCCTGCTTTTAACATTTCTGTCATGATCCCATCAGTTCCATCTGCTTTACCCCCTTTCATTCTATATAATGCCTTACGCACCTCCCCCACACTCGCATCCTGCTCTTCTTCACTCCTAAAAGATGTTGCATCTCCCTGTCCACCTCCTATAACCACAAACTTCTGCCCCACATTTTAAAACTATTCCAACCTTCTTCAACCCCCCATCTACTGATACTTGTACTAGCCCACCTTTGTGCCAATAGTTACTTATATCTCACCCTAACATCCTCCTCCCTTAGTTTATACACCTTCACCTCTCTCTTACCTGCTGTTGCCATTTTCCTTTTGTCTCGTCTACCTCTTACTCTAACTGTAGCTACAACTAAATAATGATCCGATATATCAGTTGCTCCTCTATAAACATGTATATCCTGAAGCCTACCCATCAACCTTTCATCCACCAATACATTATCTAACAAACTACTTTCATTATGTGCTATATCATACCTTGTATATGTACTTATTTATCCTCTTTTTCATAAAATGTACATTACTTATTACCAAACCTCTTTCTACACACGGCTCAATAAAAGGCTCGCCATTTTCATTTACCCCTGGCACCCCAAATTTACCTACTACTCCCTCCACAACATTTTTACCCACTTTAGCATTGAGATCCCCAACCACAAGTACTCTCACTTGGTTCAAAACTCCCCACGCACTCGCTCAACATTTCCCAAAATCTTTCTCTCTCCTCTACACTTCACTCTTCTCCAGGTGCATAAACACTTACTATAACCCACATATTATATGATAATTTATGTAACTGTATTTGTGTACCTGAATAAACTTAATTATTGTCAATATGGAAGGAATGTGAGTGTGCTTTATTTTTAATTTCAAGAAAGCCTTCGCTACCTTTTGTAAAGTACATACTTGTTTAGCTAGGAAAGGAATATTGTTGTTGGTCAATACTTCAACAGCAATTGTTACCGTTCTTTGAATTTTTCTTTTTCAGACAAGATCAGCCAGTCATTACCGAGACAGGAAAACAAGAGGCCAAGGTAGCTGCTCCCAGCTGTCCCAATCTTTTAGATTCTTGTACTCTTGATGATATCAAAGGTGAGTCTCTTATAGTTCACCACTTTTCAAGATGGAAAATGTTTTATAAAAAAAAATCTTTGAAATTGTATAGTCTTTTTTTTCTTTATAGCCATTCCCACTATTGTTTTTATCATTCTTATTTGTGTGTCAGTTTTGGGTTTTCTACCAACTTTTTCTGGTGTAACCCAGTACCTTTTACTTTCTCTTTTCAAAATGGTTTCCTTCTGCTTCCTGTGTTGTCCTCACTGGTATCCTCATTCCCTGATGTACAGTACTTTTAAGTGTAATATGTGGTAGTTATGAAGTGGAATAACTTATTTTGGGATGTATGATTTCAGCCATGTTGGAATACCATGGATTAAAGATACTGGCTCAAATACAGGACACCATGGCTGCGGCTATGGAATTGGGATGGCGCTTCCTTGAACTACATTTGATGAAGATCGTCCTCGGTTCTGTTATAATGCTTGCTTGTTATGATGTTAGTATCTGTCTTGACAGTTTTGTTAAACAGTTAGCAGAGATAGGTGATGAAAATTTTTGGTCACTGCTTTTCCACTTGCTATCAGATATCTCAGGAGAAATTTTGTTCTGTTTTTAACTGTATTGTTTTTCTTTCTGGTTGATACTGTGATGGGTAATATTTCAAAATTGTTATTCAGCAGATAAAAATTACATAATCTCAATTTTTTTGTTGTTGAGGCGATATCTTGACAGTTTTGCAGCATATACATTTTTTTTCAATGCACCAGTTGTATCCTACAAAGACAGGGTGATGTATACAAGATATGGACCAATGTTTTATACATGTTTTATTCTCAGGTTTGTGCTCTTCACTGGGCCTTCGCTCTGCTGGCCACAATAGCAGTGCCTTGCCCAGAGAAGATTCAGATTGCCATTTGTCGCACCTGCGTTGTCTTATCATCCCTCCTCCTTATTGTCAGGATGATATATCAGATAGATTATATAGATCCTGAAGGATGGGCTGCTAACTGTTCGGTAAGTTCTAATGTATGATTTTATCTATTACGTGTAATGTAAATATGAAGTTTCAGATGTAAAAAGTCCTGTACACAAAATGTCACGCTACTCATTGTTCAGATGTGCTATTAGGCTTTGTCATTAATTTCTATTGAATGTAGTATTTAAATAATTTTAACATTAAAAGTTTGTTAGAATGATACATCTTTGACATGAAATGTAAACTGTGTTTAATATTAGTGTAGATACAATTTTGATGCCTTACTGCAATTTGTCAGCTGTATGATAACTTGACGTGGACACCTTATCCCCTGAATGAGACTGCGAATAATGCTGTGTGGCTTGGCCTTAGCAAGGCTCCCAATCTACCAAAGTATCTTAAGGGCTACATAGGTAAGCTACAACAGTAATATTTACCCTTCCTTCCCACGCACACTAGTGGAATATAGAACAAAGTTATTTGAACATATATTCTAGTATCTTCATACCTCTGGCAAGACAGTGATGGAGTGAGTGATAAGTGTTTTTTGTTGTTGTAACTCTGCCTAGGTAGGAAATAGCTGATGTGTTAAAAAAAAAATTCAGGAGGGCATTGCTTTACAGAATTTCGCCAATGAAGCGGTTTTCAGATATACCCATTCTTCATTTATTCAGACTTAATACAATAAATATAAAATCCCTGTATCCGTGGGGGATATGTTCTGAGACCTACCGTGGAGACCTGACACTGTGGATAGTAGTGAACCCTATACAGTGGAACCTCAGTAGTATATGACCCGCTCCCTACTCGAACAAAGCTCAGCACTCGACCAAGCAAATACGACCTGCCAGAACTTCACTGTAAACTACAGTGGACCCCCGCATAACGATTACCTCCGAATGCGACCAGTTATGTAAGTGTATTTATGTGAGTGCGTTTGTACGTGTATGTTTGGGGGTCTGAAATGGACTAATCTACTTCACAATATTCCTTATGGGAATAAATTCGGTCAGTACTGGCACCTGAACATACTTATAGAGTGAAAAAATATCGTTAACCGGGGGTCCACTGTATTTCGTGTTTCTTTGCGTTTTTTGGTGTTTTTTGTATTTGTATAAATAAATCGCCATGGGGCCTACAAAGATCAGCGATAACAGCCAACCAAACAGAAAATTGGTTGGGAAAAACTTGTTTGATACTCAAACGGAGCAGCACTCGAACAGCCTTCTGGAATGAATTAGTCGCATACAAAGGTTCCACTGTATATGTTGTTTTTCGTTTGTGCCTATGATAAAGTTTGATACTTTGCAATCACTTGAGAATTAGCACTTCAAGGCTTCTCTTAGGCTTTAAAGAACTGCTAGCATTACTACTATTGCACATTAGGGTCATTATTAAGCAAAATTAAGGATTATTTTTGGGCCATGGTAAATTGTGGGTAACTGATACCTCAGAAAACAGATCCATGGATATGGAGTTTCTGCTGTGTTCTCCACTCCTTATAAGCTAAGGACAAAAATATTTTAAGGTAAGTAATGTGTGTGCTGTATATGCATTTTTTAGGCCTATCTCTTGCTCACTTAATATGATAGTGTAACCATGTTATTAGGCCTTTATATGCATTTTCAAGTAAAAAAGTTTTACTTTATGTTGATTCTCACTTTACAGCAGTAACCTGGAACCTAACCTGCTGTATTATAAGTAGGCCTGCATGTGCAGCAGTAACCCGGAACCTAACCTGCTGTATTATAAGTAGGCCTGCATGTGCAGCAGTAACCCGGAACCTAACCTGCTGTATTATAAGTAGGCCTGCATGTGCAGCAGTAACCCAGAACCTAATCTGCTGTATTATAAGTAGGCCTGCATGTGCAGCAGTATCCCGGAACCTAACCTGCTGTATTATAAGTAGGCCCGCATGTGCAGCAGTAACCCAGAACCTAATCTGCTGTATTATAAATAGGCCTGCATGTGCAGCAGTAACCCAGAACCTAACCTGCTGTATTATAAATAGGCCCGCATGTGCAGCAGTAACCCAGAACCTAATCTGCTGTATTATAAATAGGCCCGCATGTGCAGCAGTACCAGAACACCTGGAAAAGCCTACAATACCTGCTGTATTATAAGTTGGATCTGCTTGTGCATAATACTCCATGAAACTGGACAACCAGTACTAGCAGAGATACAAGAAAATATTTTAAGTATGGGGCAGTGATAAGTAAATTGAGCTAGACAAGGACATTTCTGAGCCCATGTTCTCTCTCTGGAGAGAGTTCCGGGGGTCATGCCCCTGGCCCGGTCTGTGACCAGGCCTCATGGTGGATCAGGGCCTGATCAACCAAGTTGTTACTGCTGGCTGTATGCAGTCCAACGTACGAGCCCCAGCCCAGCTGATCAGGTACCGACTTTAATTTAAAACTGTCATAAATTTAATAAAGATGGGGCACTACGAGCATAGCTTACTCGTGTAATTGCAAGTACAGCCTCTCCTCACTTAGCGATGTACTCGTTTTCTGACCACTCACTACGACCAGCTCTCCAACCAGTATGCAAACCTAAATAATGAATATTAGAGCTGATTTCCTCTATTCTGTTTATTACAGTATACAATACACTACGATATAAACATTTAAAAATATATACTAGAAATGTTATAACTGGTGCAGAGGTGACATTAAAAAAATTTCTAAAAATGGTTGAGACAAACCCACTATCATTATAGTATGCTCCTTACTTAACCCTTAAACTGTCCAAACGTAGATCTACGTTTTTTCAACATTTGAAAGTATGTAAAAAAAGTAGATTTTTTTTTTTTTTTTTTTTTTTATTTAATTTTTTTTTTTTTTTTTTTTTTAATTTGAAAATATGTAAAAGGAACGTAGATCTACTTTTGGAGCACTACACATGTAAACGTAGATCTGCTTGGACAGTTTAAGGGTTAATGACCTATTTGCTTACCGACCTACTCTTAGGAACAGAACCCCATCTTAAAGTGAGGAGAGGCTGTACTACTTTCTTTGTACAAGTATTTGCATTGTTTTGGAATATAACAAATTTATTCCTGTCTTGGGTTGTCTTGTGCAGGCATCATTGTTGTGATAACAGTACAGGCTGTAGTTGTCATCAGGCAAGAGTACCAGCGTAAACTAACAGGACTCCCACCACCTCCACCTGGAGTTCTCTTCCCAAATATCACCAGAGCAGTGGCTGATGATGGTATCCCTGAGTGTACAAAGTTCCTCCTGAACTATGGTTTCTATAAGTTTGGTGTTGAGGTAAGGGCTTTTTTTTTAAATAGTGTACTAATTATTTTTTCCTGATAAATTTCTAAATGAAATGATTAAATTATTTCTTTGAATGTGCCCAACTACTCACTGTGGACACCCTAACTACACATTTATTTAGGGCAGCAAAATAATTTTTTATATACTCAGGTGTGCCTTATGAGCCTGGTGGCTGTGATTGGTACTCGCCTGGATGTTTATTCCCTCATCTATGCTGGGTGGCTCTGCTACTTTTACAATCGAGAAAGGAAAGACATCGCACGTGTTTGGAAAGCCTTTGTCATTTTTATTACTGTGCTGATACCCCTTCAGTATCTTATGTGTGTTGGCATCCCACCTGGTATTTGTACAGGTGAGTAATCAACTGCGTCATTTAAGGTTATATGGCATTGTGCATCTTTTATACCTTGTCGGCTGGAGTTGTGCACTTCAGTCTTGCCTATTAAGCATCTTTGCCAAAAAATACATTATACTGTTTCTCTATTAATTACCAGAATGAAGATAGTGGTTCACTTGCTTAGTGAAATCTTTATAAAAGTGCCTGATGATCCTGGTTATAATTGTGAGCCAGCAGGGTGCTACCAACAGTAATCGACAAGGAAGTCTGGTCTCAGACAAAGCCGATAGTAAAAAAAATATGCAGTAAGATTTAAGATTACTGGTTACTTTCTCAACATTTAAATGCCAAGTATGGATTGTGTACTGTGTATTACAAAGAAATTGTTCTCCCCAGTTTTTTACTCTGCAGTTGGAGCTGCTTGGGTGTTTATAAATTTGATTTTCTTAATAGGAAGAGCACATGTCAGTATGCACTACAGTTCTTGTGCAATAAAAATTATTAATTGCTTATACTAAGTATAACACACTTTTATATTTCACCCATATAAAAATTAACACTACTCTCAAGTTCAGTGGCAGGGTGTAATGGGCATTTCTTAATATCATTATGGGTCTGTGGGTGATAAATATATTATTTTGCGATACTGTGGAACCCCGGTTTTCATCTGGTCCGGTTATCGTGCAATTCACTTTTTGACCACTTTTTTCGGCGAAATTTTCCCCATTTTTGTACATCCACTCAGAAATCGTCCATACCAGATGCGGCCGCTCATACATTCATGACTCCTCAGAGGAGGAAGAAGAGAGAGGGGAGAATGTGCCTTCAGCAATTAAGGACATTCGTGCAAAGTGGAGCGAGGTGCAAAATTTTGTGGAGAAATATCACCATAAAGCTGTTGCAAGCCATGTCAGCAACATGTTCAATGACAATGCTGTGTCCCATTTTAGGCAAATCTTAGAGACGCCAAAAACGGGCCTCTCTGGACAGAATTTTTGTGTGACAGGGGTCCAGTGACTCAAGCTGGTCCTAGTGCCAGTAAAAGACAAAGAAGGGAAGTAACCCCGGATAGGGCTTTGATACCAGAAGTCCTTATGGAGGGGGATTCCCCTTCCAAACAATAAACTCTTTCCTCTCCCCTCTTCACCATCTTCCATACTGCAACAAGTCTTCAGTTAAGGTAAAACTGATTTAATTGTTGATTTATCAATTAAAATTAGTGCTTTATATTTATTTTTAAACCTAGGTAGTAGGTTGGTAGACAGCAACCACCCAGGGAGGTACTACCGTCCTGCCAAGTGAGTGTACAACGAAAGCCTGTAATTGTTTTACATGATAGTGGGATTGCTGGTGTCTTTTGTCTGTCTCATAAACATGCAAGATTTCAGGTATGTCTTGCTACTTCTACTTGCATTTAGGTCACACTACACATACATGTTTTTTTTTTTTTTTTTTTTTTTTCCCCCCAACAAGTCGGCCGTCTCCCACCGAGGTAGGGTGACCCAAAAAAAAAAGAAAGAAAATCCCCAAAAAGAAAATACTTTCATCATCATTCAACACTTTCACCACACTCGCACATTATCACTGTTTTTGCAGAGGTGCTCAGAATACAACAGTCTAGAAGCATACACACATAAAGATACACAACATATCCCTCCAAACTGCCAATATCCCAAACCCCTCCTTGAAAGTGCAGGCATTGTACTTCCCATTTCCAGGACTCAAGTCCGACTATATGAAAATAACCGGTTTCCCTGAATCCCTTCACTAAATATTACCCTGCTCACACTCCAACAGATCGTCAGGTCCCAAGTACCATTCGTCTCCATTCACTCCTATCTAACACGCTCACGCACGCTTGCTGGAAGTCCAAGCCCCTTACCCACAAAACCTCCTTTACCCCCTCTCTCCAACCCTTTCGAGGACGACCCCTACCCCGCCTTCCTTCCCCTATAGATTTATATGCTTTCCATGTCATTCTACTTTGATCCATTCTCTCTAAATGACCAAACCACCTCAACAACCCCTCTTCTGCCCTCTGACTAATACTTTTATTAACTCCACACCTTCTCCTAATTTCCACACTCCGAATTTTCTGCATAATATTTACACCACACATTGCCCTTAAACAGGACATCTCCACTGCCTCCAACCGTCTCCTCGCTGCTGCATTTACCACCCAAGCTTCACACCCATATAAGAGTGTTGGTACTACTATACTTTCATACATTCCCTTCTTTGCCTCCATAGATAACGTTTTTTGACTCAAAAAAAATACATGTACAAGCATATATATACACACACACACCCCTCTGGGTTTTCTTCTATTTTCTTTCTAGTTCTTGTTCTTGTTTATTTCCTCTTACCTCCATGGGGAAGTGGAACAGAATTCTTCCTCCGTAAGCCATGCGTGTTGTAAGAGGCGACTAAAATGCCGGGAGCAGGGGGCTAGTAACCCCCTTCTCCTGTATATATTACTAAATTTAAAAGGAGAAACTTTAGTTTTTTCCCTTGGGCCACCCCACCTCGGTGGGATACGGCTGGTACGTTGAAAGAAAGAAAGATTTATTTTTCATTGTTTTCTGTATGTAAAACTATAGTTATTCTCTATAAAAATAATTTTTTTAATATTTTTGGGTGTCTGGAACTGATTAATTGGATTTACGTTATTTCTTATGGGAAATATTACTTCAGTTTTCGTACAAATTGGTTTTCTGCCGACCTTCTGGATTGGATTAAAGATGAAAGCTGGGTTTCCACTTTACCAGTTAGCTGGACTTGAGTCCTGGAGATGGGAAATACAATGACAATGCCTGCACTTGAAAGGAGGAGTTGGGGATATTGGCTGTTTGGAGTGACGTCGAAACTCTTGTATCTGGGCATCTCTGCATAGATAGTGATTGTGTGAATAATGGTGAAAGTGTTGAATGATGGTGAAAGTTTTTTTTTTTTTTAATCGTCCTGCCTCAGGAGGTGGCCAGCATGTTAAAAAAAAAAAAAAAATTTAATGTATGAAATACCTGGCTATGCCTCAGGCTCTAGAAGCCATAAGGTATCAAATATAGATACAAAATAATAGTTAAAGAAAAACCTTTCTTCCTCTCACTCCCCAGACACTGTATGACCTGTATGGGTTTAGCTTTTCCACGAATATACAATAATAATAACAATAACAATGCCTGCACTTTAAAGGAGGGGTTTGGGATATTGGCAGTTTGGAGGGATATGTTGTGTATCTCTATACGTATATGCTTCTAAACTGTTATATTCTGAGCACCTCTGCAAAAGCAGTGATAATGTGTGAGTGTGGTGAAAGTGTTGAATGATGATGAAAGTATTTTCTTTTTGGGGATTTTCTTTTTTGAGTCACCCTGCCTCGGTGGGAGACGACCGACTTGTTGAAAAAAAAAAAAAATAATAATAATAGGTAGTAGGTTAGACAGCAACTGCCTAGAGATGTACTACCGTCCTGCCAAGTGAGTGTAAAACGAAAGCCTGTAATTGTTTTGCATGATGGTAAGATTGCTGGTCTCTCTATTTCTGTCTCAAACTTGCAAGATTTCAGGTACGTCTTGCTACTTCTACTTACACTTAGGTCGCACTACACATACATGTACAAGCATATATATACACACTCCTCTGGGTTTTCTTCTATTTTCTTACTAGTTCTTGTTTATTTCCTCTTATCTCCATGGGGAAGTGAAGCGGAATTCTTCTCCTGTAAGTCATGTGTGTCGTACAAGGTGACTAAAATGCCAGGAGCAATGGGCTAGTAACTGCTTCTCCTGTATACATTACTAAAGTTTAAGAGAAACTTTTGTTTTTCTTTTTTGGGCCACCCTGCTTCAGTAAGATGTGTCCGGTTTGTTGAAAGAAGAATAATAATAAATAATAATTAATAATAATACACCTACCATCCGACTTACGACCTGCTCGACTTACGACCATGTTTTTTGTGCCAAATTTCTGGGAAATAAACTACTATTTGTGTTGTACACATTGTGTATCCTAAACCTTACAGTATAAAATACAGTACTAACAACATAAAAAGTAAAGTAAAACATGAAATACGAAAATAAAACAAAATAAAGTCATTACAAAAATGTTTTGTTGATATTCCGTAGTAAAGTTCGACTTACGACCATTTCAACTTACTACTGGTTTCTCGGAACCGAACTCGGTCGTAAGTCGGATGGTAGGTGTAATAATAATAATTCTCTTCAGACTACCCATGGGCTGGTGTGATGGACCCGGAGCTACGAGAGTGGCTCTTTTTTCCTGACTTTGTGAAGCCACCAGAGTCCTACAAGATTGTCAGTAAGTTGTTCATTGGGGTTAATTTACTTTGATATAGATTTCTTTAGTACAGTGGACCCCCGCATAACGATTACCTCCGAATGCGACCAATTATGTAAGTGTATTTATGTAAGTGCGTTTGTACGTGTATGTTTGGGGGTCTGAAATGGACTAATCTACTTCACAATATTTCTTAGGGGAACAAATTCGGTCAGTACTGGCACCTGAACATACTTCTGGAGTGAAAAAATATCGTTAACCGGGGGTCCACTGTATTTTAATATTTAATCATGTACAGCTGTATTGACTAATAATAATCTCTAAAAGTAATAAACCTATGGAAGTACCTTTATAATTAAATTAATTTCAATCTGTATTTGGTGTGAATGGAAAAGTGGTATATTCCTGGCCAGGTGTTCAGATTATTTCTTCATATTATACTATTGTTCATAGTATACTACTACCCTTATTATTATTCCATGATTTTGAGATTATTTAATTAAGATTTGTTCATGCCTGTGTAATTATTATATTTTATTTGGTCTTTTTTTAAAATATTAACACGTATTATCTTTTTACAGCTGATTTCTGCCTGCTGATATTTGCTGTGTGTCAGCAGCATGTCTTTGATATAGAATTTGCAGATGGTGCCGAATCTTTTGAAGGTGGCAGCAATCGTGAGATTGTACATGAAGATCCAGCTTCCCTGGTCAACCCCATTCCTGACTTTGTTACTTACTCCAGGTGGGCTATGCCGCTCTCCATTGAAGGTTATTTTACCTAAAGTTGGCTTTTAAGCTATTGCGTATAAATTTTGTACATAATGTATTATGCAATTTAACCACAAGGGTAAGAGGATGACTTGCTCAGTACACCTTTTGCATTGCAAAATAGCACTTCATCAGGAACAATTTGGTATGGAAATTGAAATGCAAGTTAGCCCAAGCAGGTGTGTGTGTTGACATGTCTTGGCTAGGACAGGAAGGAGGGAGAGAAGAAAGAGGGAGAGGGGAGAAGAAAGAGGGAGAGGGGAGAAAGAGAGGGGGAGGGGGAAAGAAAGGGGAGGGGGAGAGAAACAGAGGGGGAGGGAGGAGAGAAGGGGGGAAAGGAGCGCGCACCCTGTTGGCCTCCACAGTTTAACCAACCGTTAACCCATAGGTGCCAGAGGCTTAAAGAATTATTTTAAGAATAGCATAAAAAACTGATAAGCTCATGAGCATGGTAGTAAATAGAAGATTATATAGTACCTAATAACATGTCAAAAATAAAAATAAGGCCATAGAATGTTAAGTGAAAGCTGCCTTGAGCAAATTGTCCTCTCCTACTCTGTGGTTAATTTGAATTATTAATTATTCTTTTGTGATTGTTGCATACTGTATTGTGTGTAATTACTGTACTTGAGGGAACAAGACAGAGTGGATAGAGAATGGCTTTTGAGATGTAGGACAAGGGAGAGGGGAGAACATAAGTACGTAGCAGCTTAAGATGCAGAATTGCTAGTGACATTAGAAAGTGCTTTTTTAAGTCTTGGTTAGTAAATGAAACAGGGTGGATGTGGTAGAGGCAGTGTACACTGTAGTAGGTATAAAAACTTGGTGCTATGACTACTCTTGCACTCCCAGCTAAGTATGTCTGTTATGGCATCATACGAGACATTTGGTTACATCAGCAGGTTTCAATGCTTAATCTTAGATATATTGTACAGTCATGTTATATTATGATAAATATTAGTCAGAAAAGTTTTGTAAATATGTTAGATCTGGTGACATGTTTGATAATAGCTTCTGAAGTTAATAAAGTAGGAGGACCGGACCTGTAATCTTTGAACTTGTGGATTATTTGATAAAATATGGAGAGATGATTCAAGCCTGACAAGATGGTCATATTTGAGAGCAATGTATGGTGCGAATGTTGTGCAGAGAATTAGGAACAGAAATTAGAAGTATGTTTGAGACTTCCAAGAGTATAATACAAAGGGCAGAGGAATGATAGTAAATGTATTTCCTTTTTTTGGGGTCACTCTGCCTTGGTGGGAGATGTCCAGTGTGGTAAAAAAAAAATTATAGCATATTTGATTCCTGTGTATTGCACTTGTTTGTACTGTGTGTGGAAAGTAATTTACAATAAGTTATCTTGTGTGTGCATTAAGCAGATTGAACTGCCAGAACAGAATGAACATTTTCAGATGAAACTATTTTTATCCTAGGGAAATTTTTAAAGTACAGATTTCCTTGAAATAATTAGTTTACACTTAAATCACTAAGTATACAGCAGTTAAATAATTATAGTACAATTTTATTTCTGTGTCTAAACATAAACATCAATTGATTTTGAGAGTAGAATTTTTTATAATGTAGGCAGTGGTTACTTTTTCTCCACCACTGGTTATAAAAATGATAGGTTGGTCATGTGCTACTCTCTCTCAGGCTGATCATGTAATGCTGATAATACTTCACAATTCCTTGTTTTAGGAAGACTGGTGGTAAGAAGTAAGTACAACTTAAAATTGTTTCCTTAATGCTCAGTTGGTTTGTCAGAATTGCATCATGTCTACTATAAATTTTTGTAAGTGTTTTTGCATGTCTTGGTGTGAGACTTACCAAGGCAGAGCAACATTAATCACTGGTCGCAAATATTTTAATACTGTACCTGAAAGTGTAACCTTAACCACAGCATAAGCATGATGAATGATAGTTATATAAGACTGTATCCTGTAGTGGGAAGTAATATAAATCTTAAGTTATGGAATTACTGTGATCATAACCTTGTAATGTAATACAGTACATGATATCAGTGGTTCCCAACCTGGGAGATTAAGTTATTCCAAGTGGTCCTTGAAGCATTAGAGTAAGCATTGCTCCTCCAGTTAATGCTTGATTTCCTATATAATCCACCAGTCTTTACCCTCACAAATCATGTGGGGTCTGCATAAATGTTTGAAGCTAAATAAGAGTTCTTAAGTTTGGGAAGGTAGGGAGCCACTGCTCCTCTATCCTCAGTAGGAGGAATTAATTTTTAACTGTGAGCGTGTGCAAAATAGTCCCCTTCCCTGCAGTGATTGCATCAAATTTTAGTTTGAGTTATTGATCATAAAGCCTATTGAGTAGTATATATTGCATAATGATAAACATCACTAGAGTGAGTGTGCCCTAATTCTTTGCTGTTGACAGCATAGAATGCTGTTAATTCCTGTTATGCCCACTGCAGACTGAATATCATTGATATGCAAGACATTACCACTATACAATTCTTGCATGGCAAACTAAGTATACTCACATCATTTCCCAAATGTTATTTTCTTTTGTTTTGCTATTGTTCACTTATGCTGCACCTTATTCTTCTACTTATTTGTCACCATTAGACATCTTTCACTTTGTTTCAAACATTGCTGTTTTATCCTTGGTGCTCTACCCTTGGTGCTCTATGCACCCCCCTCGTCCCCCAAGCTGTGCAGTTAGTTATTTGTTAACTATGCCATAAGAATTAAGGAGGAAAAGATTGTATATTGCAGGTAACCTCTGTTATAGCAGTAATAACCATTTCCTTTGAATATGTTTTTGTCTCCTTACTGTCATGCTCCATTATTTACCATAAGAATTAAGTTTGATGAAATGCAATATTTTCTTCTTAACATATTCCTCTGCATCATCAACTTGCATATTATGATGAAGTGAAACAATTTTTACACTTATCTTGCACGTGAGAATGATTTGTTAGGTGTCTATACCTCCATTCACTCCCACAAAAAACTTTTTGGCACATCTGCAATAAATTTTCGTTTTAAGAAGAAACTGGATCACTGCTGCTACCAAGTGCCAGATCAACTAGGCTCTGATGGATGTGTGGTCCAGTAGGCTGACAGTTGCAACAGCCTGGTTGAAAAGGCAATCAACTTAAAATCCTGGCCTCAGATGGGCCTGCGAGAGTAGAAAACGCTTCGTCATTTATGGGTATATCACTGGTATACTTGATCTATTATCTGTTTAAAATGCCTTGTTTAGTCATGGGATTTTTGCACGTACAGTGGAAACGTATATAAAACTATGTAATGTCATGGAAAATTGGCTTTATTGCATCATGCATTTACATCAAGCCAGATGGCTGATGTAAATGCCAAATATAGTAACATTATTTTCATCACTTAGTAATAACAATGTCTTAATTGTTCAGTAAACTAATTCTACCACTAATTCTAACACTAAACAAGACTTTGAAGGGTAATTTCATATACGAGTGACAAGAAATAATGCAGTTATTTTGAATAAATGTTTAGTGTTTTCACATAACATCAATAATTTCCAGTTATGTTGGCTTCATCCCATAATAATAATGTTCAGAAGTACAAGATTTTCAAAAATTACTTTTTATAATTTAATTTGTTTTCAACACGCATAATATAGTCTAGTGTAGCTATTGTTTGTCATAATAGGTGCAGTGGTGAGTTGCATGTAAAGTATCACACGTTCCCTAAAGTAATAATAAACTAAATTGAAGGTTAAAGTTATGAGAGGAGAGAAGACAGGTGTGGTTGTAACATCATCAAAACTCTGTGGGGGGAAAAATCTTGTAAACATTAGAGAACAAAGTCACAATACCATGATTGGAGCAATACACAAGTAACCTGCACATAAGAAAAAGGGACTTATGATGTTTTGGGCCATCTTGGACCATTAATTAGTCACGCACTAACACACAGGGGTAAGGGAGCCAGGACATATATGACAGGACGGCAGGGACAGGACAGAGAGAGGAGGAAGAAAGAAGGAAGTGGAGATAGTAGTGGTAGAGGTAATGCTGGTAGTAGTAGTAGTAGTAGAGGTAATACTGATGGTGGTGGTGGTAGTAGGGGTAGAGGTAATGCTGGTGGTGGTAGTAGGTAAGGGTATGCTGGGGGTAGTAGGGTAGAGGTAATGCTGTGGTGTGTAGTAACAGTGAAATTAGGGGAAGTAGTGTGTTCAGCCATTTTATATTTGGGTAACACCTGTACTATTTTAGTGTATTAACCTAGTAACCTCCAGACAATGTACAGTGTGTTGCTATTAAATCCCCAGCTTTGTGGGGCAAAAATTTGAGGTTGTCATTATTTTATAATTATCTCATAAAGAACCTAACATTTACATAAATAACTGTAAAACACTACGGTGTCAACAAATTTAAAATCATAATGTCTAGTTGTGCTGGTTCAAATATTTTAAATCTCCATATATTTTAAATTTATCCATAAGAATTCTGAAATATTTTTAAATAAATAAGTCGTACAAACCACTTTGCAAACCTAAAGTTGTCCTAAACATTTATTACTTGTGGAGGCAGGTGGTTTCTGGGACATGACGAGCTGTTGGAGTGTGAGCAAGGCAACATTTTGTGAAGGGATTCAGGGAAACCAGTTAGCCAGACTTGAGTCCTGGAGGTGGGAAGTACAGTGCCTGCACTTTAAAGGAGGGGTGGCACCTCTGGCAAGACAGTGATAGTGAATGGTGGTGAAGTTTTTTTTTTTTTTTTTTGGGGGGGGGGGGGCCTTGCCCTACCTTAGTTGAAGACGGGCATTATGATAAAATATTATTACTTCTATTGTTACTATTATCATTATTATCAGTTACTATTATGATGATGTAGATAGTGGTATATATTAAGTGCATCACTCCCTGCAGGAACTATTTGGACATGGTGAAGGTGGTGGTCTTCTTTACATCATACTGGATCACTCTGGCTGTTATGTTCCTTGGAGGTACCAACCGTGTGACACTCTTTGCCATGGGCTATGTCCTAGGAGCCTTCATATTCTTGTGGCAGGGCAACGAGTTCTATCTTCGACCTTTTCCTACTATTCTCAGGCTGTGAGTAGTAGTGGTATATACAAAAACCTGTATAATTTTTTAATCAGTGGAAAGCCCTGAACAAATGGCCAAAATTTCCACTGAGTGAGTTGCCATATGACAAGCTTTCTTTTAGGAGAAATTTTGACAGGTCTCTTGGCAAACTACATAATGCTTTGAAATAGTTAGTGTTATAATATTTGTAAAAGGTGCCTTTTAGGAATCATATTTTGCATGCATGAGGGTGTCTTGTGTATCTTACAATAAACTTGTGTACTGCTGCCTGTTAAAAGTACAATATTCAAAGTTCATTTAAATACGGTGGTAGAAAAGATTAAAAGTTTATGGTCTATTAACCCGTTCAGGGTCCGTCCCGTAGATCTACGGCTTTACGTTTCCAAACCGTAGATCTACGTCATGAGCTCAGCTCCCTCTGATAAACTGTGAGTGGTACATTTGGGCCTAGATATGAGAGAATACATCTATGTGGTATGTGTGCACCACATAAAACAAATCCTGCAGCACACTGTGTATAATGAGAGAAAAAAAAACTGAGACCATGATTTTCGATTAAAACAGCAACTTTGCATTTGCGATTTGTATTTGCGATTTCTTGGTCTCATTTGATAGAATGGAAGACATATTACAGGAGTAGAGATGATTTTGAATGGTTTTAGCACTGGAAATGGCTTGAAACTGAGCTCAAAGTAGCGGAAATGTTAAATTTTTGCCTATGTTCAAAAGTAAACAAATGACCTCGCACGTCTAATACACGCCAGCTGGTGGGTCTAATATACATTCACAAATGTGGTGATGATATTTATGCAATTATTACAATATTGCATAACAGTAAATCTTCTATTTTTTTGTGTGAATAAAAATTCATTGCGAATAAAAAATCAAAATGGAATTTATTTGTAAAGCCTCAAAATGTAACTAATGAACAGAGGAAATGTTAGTTTAGTGCCAGGAATACCTACATTGTTTATTCTGGACCCTATTTTGAAATTGGAATATTTTGAACTTTGTGTTAAATTGGCCAAATTACCAATTTCCAATCACTTTATTTTGTAGTTGAAACAGTTGACTTGGGGATTTCTTGTGCTCAGTCGATAGAATGGAAGTAATACTAGTGAAATAGCTAAGAATTTGGTGGACTGGAATAGTGTAATTAGCCTAAAATGGGAGTCAAAGTCGGCAAAATCGCCGATTCGTGAGTATCGCTGACACATCAAAATTCGTGAGAGCATAATTTCGTCAATTTTTCATCAAATTTCATACTTTTTGTTTTATTATCTTCACAAAAAGATTCTCTACCATTTCATAAGAAAAAATAACATTTTTTTTTTAAATTCTTGGACACTGGGGCACCACTTCAGATTTTGGCCTTGGACCCTGAAGCGGTTAATGCAGTTCATTTAGAAATACTATCTGTATTTGACTTGTATTATAAAATACAAATTTATTTCTTAGGTGAGGACTTGAAAATATTAAGGTTGTGGTGAATAAAAAGGGGTTTGTAATAATTTCCTCTTCAGTGAGAAGGCAACATGGGTATATTTGTTTTTTAAATTGTGAAATTCTTTTAGTAGGAACAATCATAAACCATATCACTAATATCAACTTGTTCACTTTCTACAGGTGGAATTATTTGCTTGGGTACAATGTAGGTGTGATCGTAGTGAAGACATTATTGCAGCTGCTGGGATGTGTGTTCCTAGCACCACTCTCCATCAACGTTTGCTGGCTGGTTCAGCTCTTTGGTATAGCTTGTGTCAAGAAATTTGGAGATGATTCTGATGAAAAAATTGTGGCAGGTGAATTGTAGTACAAAAATATTTCATTATGCTGTAGTACAGTACAGATTTTGTTTAATTTCTTTGATAAGTTTTATTTGACTTAAAAAATGTGGCATGAAAATTCCGAGACCTTGCCTTGTTCATTAGATTAATTAGCTTGGATGTGTTTAAAGTGTTTTTTGTGTTCATATTGTAACATATCTGGCTGGTGTCATCTTTTCTTTACTATACACATGCCTAACTAAACATAATGTGCTTACTCCTTGCCAGTTTAGTTTAGGCCCAAGGAAAATGCAGCTAATGATGTAATCATAAATATTTGACAATGTATGTATGGTTGACCACAATATTGTTCTTCACAGGACATCCTAATGACTTAGAGCACATTTACAACTGCTTTCTATTCTGCTTATGTAACAGACTTGAAAATGTAGCCTTTAAGGTCACTTCAGCTGTCCTTCCATTGAAATTTTCTCAAGGCAGCATCCTGAGTCGTCATCTTTTCCTCTACATCAGTAACTTCCCAAATGTCACCCAACATCTAAGAGCAATAATCTTCTACTGTACAGCTATATTTTATCATACTCTGATAAACTGACTTGAAAGAAAATAGTTAATGATTAGTTAAAAAAAAGAGGTCTCCACCTAGGTAACAAACTCACCCTCAGTATTTAAACACTTCAAATAAACTGTCCACAGTTAGATACAAAAATAAATTTGAATTGGAGAAAAAATGAGAAACTTTCTAGATCTTGTCATAGACTATATATTAACATTCAACACTCCTGTCCAGCACATATCAAAATGTATAAAGAAATAGTGTCTACTCTCGAAATTCGTGTTTGCCAGTCTGTTACTAACGCTACTATTTATCTATATCTCATTCGTAGACTTTGTGCCTGGAGATCCACTTAGGCTGCCCACCTCAAATAAATCATCATATAGAGGCATCTATCAGAACCATCACTATCTTTAAGTATAGACAACACGCTATGCCCTTATTGAAAGATCTAAAACTGCTAAATCTTAATGCTATGTTTGTTTGCTACTGCTTACTCCACATTAAAAACTGCATTATACTGCTAAGACACTTTTGGATAACTATAACACAACACAAATCATCACACTTGAAATAAATGCCTCTTTAATGTTCATGTGAACCTCTAGAGAAACCTCAATAACAATTATTAATGTGGTACAGCCTGCTAGATGATTAAAACAATGTAACATTACTTGATAAATTAAATAATTAAAAACTTGTGTTTAGTCCACCCATACTCAATTTATGACATGAATATTTTATTGAAGTTTCAAATAAATACTACCATTTTTTGTTTCTAACTTGTTATTTAGTTTTAATTTTATTGAGTAATCTCAGAATTGGAAGCAAATCTTTCATTGCGATTTTAAGAACTGTCATTCAACTTTTTCTAGTCATGTCAATTATAATTTTAATTCGTTAATAATCTTGTAGTTTGTATTTTAATATTTTTAACTTCCTGTCAATTCCTTGTATTACAAGCATAAAAAAATGTTATTGTTTTAGTTTCATCTAACTTTTATACATTCAAGGATTTAGAGAGACCTTTCTGTCTGTAATTTTCAAAGTACAAGGGAATGCAACTTTTTTCAGATTTGGCTGATCATTGTGCTGTTCCTAAGTCTGAGGCTGGGCTTATGTGGGATGGCATTTGCTTTGGATTCTTGTTGATGCAAAGGAGGTTGTTCTCTTCTTACTACTTCCAACACCTTGTCACAGAAATGAAGGCTCAGACCAAACTTGCCTCCAGGTAATACCTACTAGACAGTATCTGGTGTTGTGATGGTGTTGTGAAAATTTTCTTTTAAGATTATCACTGTTAATGATTAGAAATGATCTTGTCACTATCAATCTTATCATTAAGCCTTAATTTCAGGAGCTTTTTTTTTTTCTTTTACCAGTACTGATCTACAGTCTTTTGATTGCTAAATACAACCTGTCTTATTTAATAATTTCTGAATATTTCTTGCAGTTCAAAACTTTATTGGATCAGGTTAGGTTGCATTTATTGACTACTGAATTACAAATAAGGTAATTTGTGTTGTCACTCTTGTAACCTCTAGGGGAGCTGAGCTAATAGCAGAGCTGATGCAGAAAGAGATCGCAGAGCAGCAGGCAGCAGAGCGAGAGGTTCTTAACAAAATTAAAGAGAAGATGGAGCGTATCAAAGCATCGCAACAGCTAGTGAATTGTCAACAGCCCCGGGAACCAGCGAGCCATTATGAAGGTGAGACTCGCCACTAACATCAAACACCATACCACAGCCTCCATTGATATTTTATACAGAAGAGTGCAAATAGGGAGAGAGAAATGTAACTAATGATCAAGTTATTTTTTTTTTGTTATATATTGTCATTTAACTGTTGGTTTCCTTTGTGGTACTGTATATTTAAATGTTGGGTCCCTTTACATATGGTCTGCTTTTCTGTTACTTTCATTACATATGGTTTACTTAGCTGCTGGAATCTCCACTCGAATAATTTAAGGAAAGTAAGATCTAGGTTTTGCATATTTGATGGAGACGTTGATTTTGGGGGATAAATTTAACATCACCAGAAGAATGCATGAATGCTATTAAAAATGTATACATAATCAAACCTAGCTAGAAAGTATTACACTTTTTTTCTAATGAAGTAACTAGCACAACATGGATTCATTCTTCCTGAGGGTGGGGTTAATGTCATTAATGTTTTTGGATAATGGAGGTGCAGTATGTATAATGGTTTGTGACTTGACTTAATACAGCTTCTACTTGGCAAATGATATCCAAGCTTCAGATTCAAACATGGAGGATAACAATAGAGTTGTGTAACCTCATCTGGGACTTCTTACAGTGTTAGGTAAACTGCATTTCAGTGGCAAATGTTAGAGTAAATCAGCCTCAGGTCTTCCTGTATGTGGGGTAGGTGGGTAGGGGATGCCCCAGGAATTGTTAGAGGGAGGAGGTAAAGGTTTTGAGTGCTATGGGCTTGAGCATCCAGTAGGCTTGTGTGAAGATATTAGCAGTAGTATCTATGGCATTTATATTTAGTTTGTTTTGGGATTTGATTGTATTCATGATTTGAATAGCTATATTTTCTTGTGATAATTGGTTTGAGGTGGATAGCTGAGTTAGAACTCTGGGTACAGTGTCTACATCTGGAAGATGGTGGGGAAGTTATTTTATTATGAGAGTAAACCTTTACAATAAGTATATAGTGGGATTTGTTTTACTGACATGCTGAAAAAAATGCTTTCTCAAGCTCAAAATCAATCATCTTCCAATCTCTGTATGAGAAGCTAATGTTTTTATGGCAAGAGGAGAACCCCTCATCCCTTTAAAGTGATGCCTTGTTGCTGGTGAAGTGATCTTGATCTGAGGAATTGTAGCTGCCCTTCCTTGCTTGGATCACACCTGATTACTTCCCTTATCCCCCCTCTTGTATCCTTGCTGCCTTTGCATTTGCTGACCACCTCCATGCACCAGGTTACTCTTCACTTCTAGATAACTTCATTTTTCTGATAACGTTGGATTATAGTAATTGCATTCCAAACCAAATGTTATTGGTTTGTACACTGACATCTTAAGCCTTTGTTTCAAGAATTAGTGTCTCGTCACTGATATATAGTCTTTGCCAAACTTGCACAATATGCTATTTGAAAGGGTAAAACACTGTTTTTTTATCTACATACAGTAGATAATGAGATGCTTGAGAGATGCTCTACATACAGCAGATAATGAGATGCTCTACATACAGCAGATAATGAGATGCTCTACATACAGCAGATAATGAGATGCTCTACATACAGCAGATAATGAGATGCTCTACATACAGCAGATAATGAGATGCTCTACATACAGCAGATAATGAGATGCTCTACATACAGCAGATAGAGATGCTCTACATACAGCAGATAGAGATGCTCTACATACAGCAATAATAAGATGCTGGAGAAATGCTCTGCATATAGCAGATAATATGCTGGAGAGATGAATTAAGTTGTGTGTGTTAAGTCATACTACCCATTTCATGATGAAATTAATCTGAAGCACATACTATAATTATAATTACAACCTCAAAGCTTCGAAGTAGTTGAGCTTGGTATTGCTGGTGGTAAGGACTAACTTAACATGTGGATGTTTAGAAAAGCCCTTCGAACATTTATAAACACAGGAAAAACTAAGGTACACTAAAAAGTGTTTTTAGTATAGTATTATTTTACATTCATAAATATCATTTAAGTAGTATTAACTGACAGGTTTAGTGCTTATGTTGATTTTTTTCTTTTTAACAAGTCAGCCGTCTCCCACCGAGGCAGGGTGACTCAAAAAAGAAAATCCCCAAAAAGAAAATACTTTCATCATCATTCAACACTTTCACCACACTCGCACATAATCACTGTTTTTGCAGAGGTGATCAGAATACAACAGTTTAGAAGCATATACATATAAAGATACACAACATATCCCTCCAAACTGCTAATATTCCAAACCCCTCCTTTAAAGTGCAGGCATTGTACTTCCCATTTCCAGGACTCGAGTCCGGCTATATAAAAATAACCAGTTTCCCTGAATCCCTTCACTATATATTACCCTGCTCACACTCCAACAGCTCGTCAGGTCTCAAATACCATTCGTCTCCATTCACTCCTATCTAACACACGCACGCTTGCTGGAAGTCCAAGCCCCTCTCCCACAAAACCTCCTTTACCCCCTCCCTCCAACCTTTTCAAGGACGACCCCTACCCCACCTTCCTTCCCCTACGGATTTATACGCTCTCTATGTCATTCTACTTTGATCCATTCTCTCTAAATGACCAAACCACCTCAACAACCCCTCTTCAGTCCTCTGACTAATACTTTTATTAACTCCACACCTAATTTCCCACTCCGAATTTTCTGCATAATATTTACACCACACATTGCCCTTAGACAGGACATCTTCACTGCCTCCAACAGCCTCCTCGCTGCAGCACTTACAACCCAAGGTTCATGAGTGTGTTGGTACCACTATACTTTCATACATTCCCTTCTTTGCCTCCATAGATAACGTTTTTTTTGTCTCCACATATACCTCAACGCACCACTCGTCTTTTTTCCTTCATCAATTCTATGATTAACCTCATCCTTCATAAATCCATCTGCTGACACGTCAACTCTTAAATAGTATCTGAAAACGTTCACTTCCATATTCCTCCTCCCCAATTTGATATCCAATTTTTCTTTACCTAACTCATTTGATACCCTCATCACCTTACTCTTTTCTACGTTCACTTTCAACTTTCTACCTTTACACACACTCCCAAACTCGTCCACTAAACTTGGCAATTTTTCCTGAAAAGCCCATATGCACAGCATTTCTAGAAAATTTAGGCGAGAACTAAAATTAATGCTAAGAGGATTACACAGATGTGGAATTTTTTATACAATACTTAAGAGTCTAGTACAGGGTATGGTCAGAAAGTTAAAAAAAAAAAAAAAAAAAAAAAAAAAAAAAAAAATGCAAGATTAGTCAATAAAATTAGAAGTTGTTTGACAAGTTAGAAGGTTGAAGCGTTTCAGAAACTACATTAAAGGATTAGTTTCAGGAAGATACTACACGATGTAAATTATTGGAATCAGTCCAGCATAACTGAGACAAAATAAGCTTTTAACTTCATAGCTTCTTGGAAGAGTGATTGAAAAAAATGATGAAAATCTTTTCTTCTATTAGTCATCCTACCTCTATGAGAGTTAGTGTGATAAAAAAAAAAAGCTCCAAATAGTGATTTGTATCTCCATGTTCGTGGTGATCTATCAGTGTTTCTAACCTTGGTCACCATTTCAATTTCAGTCTCGTGCGCTCTCTTCGTTTATATTGATGTTAACGTTTAGCTTCCATTTGCTAGCTTTGTGTTAATATTTTTTCTGAATTATCATTTATCTATAATTTGTTTGCTAAAGTAGTAATTTATTATTACAAGCTTAATTTTACTAATTATATATATCATTTATTTTTGTTCCTGATTCATATTTCATTATATTTTAAAGTGTATTGAACTGTTGCCAAGAAGCCATCAATGTGTCTCATGGGCTCAGTGTCACACACATCTTGTCCACTTTCTCAATTATTTGTCTTATTGCTGAGATAATTTAAGAATCTTAATCACTGGAATATATTATTAGTATTCTTTGTATATCGTTCAGATAACTTTAGAACTGTAATTTCCACCGATAGTATATGTAATTTTTTTTTGTTTTTTTTACCATTGTAATACTCCTGTATCTCCTATTTTTAAATCCTTAACATCAATTTTGCATACTCCTTCTGTTTAAGCAACCACACACTGGCCCTGAATGCAACCTCTTGTACATGAGATATATATAGATATAGCAATGAACAGTAGATTAGCCTTGAAAGTATTATACAGCAAACATAACAAGAATCATCCTTAGTATGAGCAATTGTTTAGTTATCTAACACAAGGCCCTTAAGTAAACACAGTGATGATGACAATTCTTCAATCTCTGACTACCAAATGTTCATTTATTGTATTAACAGAGACCTGGTTGAAACATGACCTCACCAGTGTATTCAGCATACCTGGATATTCGCCCATCCACAGCTATAGAATAAACAAGAAAGGTCGAGGTACTGTTGTTTTCAATGCCAATGAATTCAACTGTAAATATTGTGAACACTAGTGATGAAAATGGTGAATAAGTATTTGCTCAATTCACCACTAACAATACTAACAATTATATATAATCTAATAACATTTGGAGCAATTTACAGCATCACTCAAACCAATTTTCTATGACAACCTGAGTAATATAATTACCCATAAACTGAGAAACCACTTTGTAATTGCTGGAGATTTCAATATTAATCTTTGTTAAGCAAATACCAAATATCACACTTCCTTAATAGCACATATTCTTGTTTACTTATACCCTCCCTTACTGCAGCTAGAATCACTGAAACCACTACCTCAGTTCTTGATCTTGGACTAATATGCAGCACCTCTAAATTCAGATGTCATTATGGATTGAAAACTCAGCATTCTCTTGTTCTTTTATCTCCATTTCAAAAAACCCATGTGAAGGAAAAAAAAATTGCTTTGATTTCGTAGTGATACCTTATTAAACAACTTTATTAATGCCATCAAATCCACAAATTGGGAAAGGGAGACAAGTCTAACCTTCAGCATAAATTTGGGAGTAGAACGCACTGCTTCCCCTCATTAACCCTTAAACGGTCTAAACAG